CACCTTTGTCCAAGGAGAAGGCACTACTGTTCTGGGTGCAGGGCAGTCTCATCCAACGTCAAACTTACCAGAAGGCATGGGAGGAGCGAAGGACCTCACAGCCACGTGGTGCTGATACCAGCAACTTGCAGGGGAGCTCAGAGACCTTGCTGGGTGCTGGCGTGGATGGAAGGCAGTTTTGCTGCTCCAGTGCTGCTGCTGCCCTGCAGATAGATACCAGTCTGAGTATTTGCACTGATCCTTTTCATCCCTCTTTATTTGCCCTCCAACAGGCAGTGGTGACAGCTTCTCCTCTACCAGCAGCCATGCAGCAGAGCCAGACTCAGCTGCCAACATCTGCATCTGCTTCCCAGCATCAATCCCCGGTGTGGCCTCCTGGGTCCTTGCCAGCACTGCTGCAAACCCCAAAGCCCAGGTCCCCACTCAGCACCCAAATCCAGCACCAATTTCTTTTCATCAATGTTAAAACCCCTGCTTTCCATTCTGTTTCTGCCTTTCCAGGTACAGCACCATCCAGTTTAACCCCCAAACATATTCCCTAATGAATATTTAACCACACAGAGCTCTGATGAGAAGGGACTGCATGTAAAAAGAAAAATAATAATTTGATTACTTTTGCACCCTCTTCTCTTAGAGTTGATTTTACAGCCATTTTTTTCCCCTGTTTAGTCTGGGTTTCTCAGACTTTTTCTGCCTCAACAGATAGTCCAGAAAGCCAAACACGCTACGACTTTCACTCTTTTTTATTTTTTACTTAGCCCAGGGCTTTATTTCCTAATGATTTAGGCTATTTACTTTCTGCCCCCATTTGCAAAGATGCTTAAGCACTTGAGCGGGGCTGAAACACACAAGCAGTCTGTAACCTTGCCCTCAGCCTACTGCTCTGTGTACCGTGGTGCCCATCCAGGATGGCAGTGATGGCAGGAGCTTTGCCAACATGGTTTATCTCTCCTGAGCCAAACACCAGGTACCATTTCTCAGCTCTAACTCACTGGACCAGACAGTTTTTTCTCCCTTTGCCCTTTTCACTTTAAATTGCAAAGACCATGGCTGCTGGCTTCAAAAGATGGGTTAACTTTTAAAAACTTCTCATTATGGATATTAAGTTATTCTTCCTAGGATGATCATTGTGTGACATTTTAATTTGGAGCGTTTTTTTTTGGTGGATGAAACAGCATCCTTAGCAGATTTATTGCTTAGTGAATGGCATAGTCATGGCATGTGTCAGACCTGTAAAATATTAACAGGGGATTGTTGTTAATCAGTATTTATCACACCACATAAAGGCACATTTACAGTCCCACCAGGGGACTATTAATTTGTTTGGGGATAAACAATTAGTCTCCCTGGGAGTGGGAGCAGAAAATCTGACAGGGTTTTATGTCTTTTCCCAGTGTGGCAGAGGTAGGATAGCTCACTGGCCAGGGCTGCTGGGCTCCCCAGGGATCTCCCGTGGTGCAGACAATGGTCTGCAATGCCTGGGGAGAAGCAGCCCACCAAGCAGCAAGGTCCTGCTTCTCCCTGGCTGGTTTTCCCCTGTAAGCTGTTCTCTCTTTTGTGATGAATGGGCTTTTTCCTTCCCCTGCCTGAGCTGGGCCCTCACAGATGGCCTTGATGCATCCCGTTTGTTTCCCTCCCTGTCTATTTTTGGGTTTCAGCCTTTGCATCCTGTTTCCTGCATCCTTTCTGCTCAAGATGCAACAGGCACAAACAGGGAGGAGAGAAGGAGGTGCTGCACAGTTGGAAGGGGAGGGTTTTTAGCTGCTACTGTTGGGTACCTTTGCTCCATGGACTTCTTCAAACTTCAAATTTTTCTTCAGAAGCAGCTGTTTGATCTGCAGGTATGACTCCAGTACAGGGCAGGAGCACTTGCGACAATTCCCAGGCAAGGAATTTGAACCTGGAAGGGTTACAACAAAACCAAAAAATTCCGGTTTACAAGAGTATATCCAGTGTTTTGGCCAGGTAGTGCCAATGCATTAGGGAAAGAAGTTCACACCCATTTCAGCAGCAATAGCTATGGTGAACCAGCATAATGTAGGAGCCAGACTTAAGACCACCAGCTTACAGCAGGGTCACTTACAGTCTCTCCTGAAGTGCCCTGTGCCTTTCCCTATTGCCACCTATTCTGGGGCAGCTGCACCACTGCCATCCCTTGTGTCCCACAGCAAAACTCCTCAGCTGCATTACCCCTTCTGCCCCCCAGAGCTGCTTGGTGGCTGTTCTGTGGCTCAGCTTTCCTGGCCCACATGGCAGAAAACAAACCTCACTGTTTACCTACACCTCTTGCCCACAGGAATTTTAACACATTTATTCACAATGAGAACTTAGTTCCCTTTGCCATGGCCTGGTTGGATTTGGTCTTTTTTTGGCCAGCACTGTGCACATCAGGGTGCTGTTGGTCCCGGGACCCCGCAGTCTTGCTGCTGCTTCTAGGAACACTGATGGCAGAACCTGAACCATACCCAGCTCATCTTTCAGTGGCACACACACCTGCACACATCCTGTTTGCACTTTTTTTTGGCACTATGTCCTCAAAAACATCTTTGCACCTTTCTGTGGGGGTTAGTAGCTCATAGGTTGTTTCCAACAAGAGCTGTGAGTTTTTAGGGGATTTGCACTACCATAATTAAGAAGAACATGGATCATTAAAAATAATGTGCTTCACACAAGAGAGGAACAAGCCTGCTTCACAAGACCCCTTTCTGCTGAAAAATTCATTGCACTAAATAATTAATGGGCCTCGTGAAGGAGGATGGTTTAGCAGGTTGCTGGGTGGAATTCAGATACTGGGCAGAGTAATCCTTTTATGAGTCCATGTTTCCTTGCTGCTTCCCTGGGAGCAGTGAGGATCAGCTGCTCTCTCCATGGGACCTCAAACTAGGAGGGTACCTGTGTAATAGGGTCACCCATCCCACCCCAATCCCTGTGGGTCCCTCCTGGAATACAGATGGGGAAAGGGGCTGGTCCCTGCTGGGGTGTCCCAATCTGTTCTGCCCTGGAGCAGCACTTCCCTCTTTAGGTCTCACTGGCTTGGAAGGCCCCAGGGAGGAGCAGATAGACCTGCTGCCACAGCCTCTCCTTTTCTCCCAGCAGCTGTTTGCACTGTTGTGCCTTTTACATTACATGTTAGGAATTAATTTATTGCTGGGACAGTGTTTTCCTTGCTTGTGCAGTGTATAAATAGGCTATAAATAAGATGCTGATTTCTAATCACTGTACAGCACTGGTGGAAGCACTCACACTGGCGTGTCAGGGTGGTGCCTGTGCTTCCCTGGCCTGTTACTTGCCAGCACTAGTGTGTCCCATTTTGGAGCAGTGGCAGCTCCCAGGCAGGACCCTGCAGCTGGTGGTTCTGCCACAGCACCAGCAAGTACAGCTGCTAAAACCACTTCAGCAGTAAATGAAGCAGGAAGATGTAGGGCAGTGCTAGACCTCTGGAGCAGCACTGCTAGTGCTGGAGGGATTTTTTAGCTGGTTGGATTCCATCACAGGGTAAACCCAGTTCCTCTGCCCCCTGAGCCTGCCTGTGTTTCCTCAGCATAACTTAGATTTAGCAGACTATTTATGTCTCTGGTGGTGGTGGTGGGGACATGAATGGAAACATGTATTGGGTTTGTTCCTATAGTAAACCAAAAACTCAAATATAGGGGAAAACTAAGAAAGGAAAATTGAGCATTTCTACCCAGAATGTCTCAGCAGAGCCAGAGGGCTGGACAAGGGCAGGTGGAAGAGGGACCTGAGCTCCTTAGGGCAGCTCCTGCGCAGGTTATGAAAATGAGGCTCGTTAGAAAGATGGGGATGAGACCTGTCTTAACAGCTGTGCTGCCTTAGGGAGCCATGAGGTGGATGTTACTGCAGAGTGACTCACCAAAGCCAGAAGTGTTTCATGGAATTTGCTATGAAACGCCAGGTCTTGATGTGGCTGCCACAATGCTGGGACTGAGGTGCCCTTGTGCTGTTTGAACGCTGCCATGAGCTGGGTAATGGAAGAAGACACACACATCCCCTCACTGCCCTGGCTCACACTGTGCCCTGGCTGGGCTGGCATGTGTCACTGCTGGTGTAGGGACCTTCCTGCTGCCAGTGCCATCCCATTAGAAGTGTAACCTGCAAGGGGGACAGAAACAGTGACAGTGCAGCAATTGGGTGCCCATACCAAAATATGAGTTGTTTTGCTATAAATTAGTGCTTTTCCCAGTTTTAGGTGCTGATGCAGTTTGCATCTTAAAGCCAGAATATTAAATAGCAAAATTGCTTCTACCCCGGCCAGGTGATGGCAAGGAGACAGGCTGCAAATTGTGCTGGCCTCCCTTTTTACTGCCCCTTCGTTCTGCCCCCAGGGGAAAACTGCCTGCCAGGTACTCCCCTAGCCTCCAGTGCCTCAAAGCTTCATCACACAGAGTGAGCTGGGTTTGAATAACAGTACCGAATGACCCAGTTTTGTTGCCAGAGAAGCTAAATCAAAGCCATGGCTGCTGCAGGGAAGGGCTGGTGGGTCTGCTGAAGGTGGGTGGGTTGGGCTATGGGGTGGAAGCAGCCTGCTGTGTCAGCAGAGTCTGGCTGCAATGAAATCTTTGCAGAGGTTCCCCACTGTGGAGCATCACTGGCAAAGCACCCTCTAATTGCCAGGCTTGCAGGAGCAGGCGCTGGCACAAGTTTCAGCTCTCAGTGGAGGCACTGACATGCATTGCAGGCATCTAATGGCACTTGTATTAGTGACATAGCCCTTCATGCATGTAATACATTTGCTATTATCACCATAGCCCAAAGAGTTATAACCCCTGGGACCATGTGAACCATGGGCTCAAGACTTAATAGTGAATTTAAGCAACAGAAGAAGGTGTAAGCATTAAGAAGGTATAAGCAACAGGAGAAAGCAGGAGAAGCTGCCCGTGATGGGGCTCCACTTCTCACTTGAAGAGGGGAATTCGTGGGGTGGTGTCACTGGGCTGGTTGGTGGGGGATGACCTTGCTGACAGCCCTCCATATCCTTTCAGACAAGTGCCGTGCTGTGTGCAGGTGGCTGTGCCCTGCTGGCCCTCAGCTCACTGCTGGCCATCGTCGCTGTCCTGCTGCCTGGTGGAGCCTGTGAGAAGAGAGTCTGCACCCTAGCTGGCTACATGCAGACAGCAGCAGGCAAGTGATGGGGACTTTGCTCTTTGGGGTGGAAAAGTGGGGTTTCCTCAGGATGCTGCCTGGCCATTCACAGCATTGTGTATCTTAGCAGCAAGAGGAGCTTGCAAACTCTAACCAACAGTGGCAGAAAAGTGAGTGGCCCTTCACTTGGCAATTGCCACCTGCATCCATCCTTATAGAATCTACTGAAAATGACTTTGTTGATGCTAATGCAGATGGGAGAAGGCAGGCAGCTGGGGCAGGTCCATCCTTGTGCTGTGGAAGGACAAATCCCAAATGAGACTTGTCTCCCCACCCAGCTGCATCTCTGGGACCTGAAAGTGTTGGACCAAACCACCCCAATTGGACATAAGCCATGACAGGAGATTAAACCGCCCATCATGCCTGTGCCTGATAATAAACTCCTTTACTTGGAGAAATCCTCAGGGCCAGCCAGGCTTCCTTATCTGCTCAGCAGCATTCAAGCTGCTTTTGAGGGCAATCCTGTTACATGTTTTCCTCACCAGGGCTCATCCAGCAGGAGCTGATTTGGGAACAGATGGAGAGGCCTGGCCTGTTAGCCATGGCTGCTCCAGCTCAGCCAGGCTGTGGGTCCATAGAGGCAGCTGCTCCTGCCTGTACCCCGTTACTACTGACCTGTGCGTCATTTAGAGGACACAATTTGGAGATTCCCATCACCCCTCTGTGCTGGCTGGTGGCTGCAGGGCAGAGGAGCCCCATGCCAGGAGGTCTCAGCCCCAGCATGGGGATGGTGTGGGTCACTGAGGCGTGGCTCAGGGTGGCCTCCTGTGCAGAGGGTAAGTGGGACAGCAAGGGGTCTGCATTACCTTTGCCTGGGGGGTGGCACATCCCTGCTGTGTCTGGCTCTGCAACAAGAGACAAGCAAGGGATTAGGAAATGTCCCTGGAAAGGAAACTGACTGTGGCAGATAAATACAGATGAGGCTCTCTGAGGGGTTTGGGTAATATTGAACAGGCTGTAAATAAACTGTAGGCTCTGAGCGTTACTGACAAATTAAAATTTACTGGGTATGTTCAAGCAAGCTAATGGGTGGCTTCAAACCCTGGCAGTGCCTCGCTAAGCATTTTGTATTGTGCTTTTTAATTTTGGTTCACTGTGGATTAATTCTTATTCAGAGCCAGGCAGCCCTGAGTCAACAGAATTAAATGGCTTAATGTATTTGGATTCAGAAATCCTGCCCACCCACCCCCTACCTCCCCCAGTTTCTCTCCCTGTTCCTCTCATCTTCATTTAAAATCAGCTGCAGCCAGGTGACAGCGAGATAAACTCCTCCCCCAAAATCACACTATCTAATAGAAAAAAGAAGCGATTTTTAGGGTAGATGAATTTATATGGGAAAGAAGGAAAGCAGAGCAAGCCCATGAGATTTGGTAAAGCACCTTTCCCCCTCTGCCAGGGGAACCCCTACAAAATCACCACAAGATGCCAGTGGAGCAGTGGGAGGGGGCTGTGTTTCTCCTCTGTGTTTCCCTGAAGCACCGCTCATCTCGCAGGCACCTTCCCCCTGCTTGCCATGGTATTTCCCCCCTGAAATCCAGACTTTGCTCCCATTTTCCCATCCCATAAAAAAAACCTCAAGATGCTTTGCAGAGAACCATAGGCATGAATAAAGAAGCTTAACACTATAAAACATTGAGTCTGATTTCCTAATAAAAGAGCCAGGTGCATGAAACATGCCATAAAGTACATGAGCGGAGGCACTGGGAGAGCCAGAACCAGTCCCCGTAGCCTCTGTGCTGTATCAGACAGGCACCCTGAGCCACACTCACATAAATCCAGGTGCAAAGGCCAAGCTGAACCAAACAAGAATCAATCCTGAGACCAGCCCCACAGCAAGGGCCCAAACTATGCCTTTAACACTTTACTGCTGTGTTTTGAGATCCAAGTTGCTCCTTTTCTAGCCCCAGAAGGAAAGAAGATAAAAACCTTACACAGATAGCGAAGAGCATTAATTGCAGACACAGACATGCCATCAGGGTTCAGAGCTGGGCTAATTGCGACCATATGCTGAACATATGATTCCTGATGCCTGGCATCCCCCCCTTAGAAAAAAAACCCAACCACCATAGCCACATAAATGACAAGAGGATGATCCCAAACGAAGGATAAATGAACAGCAGAGCAACATGGAGAGGGGGAAAGGAGAAAAGACAGAACATTTGCTCAGCTCTCACACCCTAAAGGCAAAGTCAGAGCTGCCTGAGAGATTAGAGCTCACTCCCCAAGTGTGATGCCAGCTCACTAAAATTACATTTCTACTATGATACCTCCTCCCAAACCTGCTCAGCAGCACCTCTGAAGAGGCTTAGGAAGCCAAGCTGGCCCCATTTATGTGTGGGTTAGGGGTGGGGAGGGCAGCCCCAACCTCCAGCTGTGGCCTATTGCTGCTGATGGAGGTGGGCCCTGGGGCTAACGCCAGGCACTGGGAGTGCAAAGGGAGGTAGAGCTGGTATCTTGCTACAGTTAGTTTTCAGAAAAAGCCTGTTTGCTGGCATTTTAAAATTAGGAGTTGTATCCAGGGAGAAATGTTTCCTGCTGTAAGGAAAAGGCAGGGGATGTTCTCCAGGGCTGGCTGTGCTTGTACAACCTCTCTGGTGGCTTCTGGGTGCTGTGCCAGGGGGCCTGCAGTTTATAGCTGGACATTACAGTTTCTCTCTGCAAAGCTCTCAGACCAGTTTTCAAGTAACTGCCAGTGGCAAAGCTGCTGGCAGGAACACGGTGCCATCACAGTGTCCCAGGCACTGGCTTCACCCAAAGGCAACTGTTGGTGATGCCCTGGGTTGCCCCAAGGCTCCACTCTGAGCTACGGCAGGCCACACAGGCCCCAGTAGTGTCACTGCATTAGGAGTGTCCTGAAGGCTGCAGGGTGCTAAGAGCCAAAGCAGCCTTTGCTGGGTTTCCAGCATGGACCGTTTCTGTTCCTGGCTCAGGAGCATCTGCGCTCCCGTGGGAATGGCCTTTCCAGGGGAATGAGGCTTGCTGCTGGTGGAAACTGAGATTGCAACTGAGGCTGAGTAAACCTCATCGAACAGCAAATCTGGGCAGCTTTCTGCTTTTGGGGCTTGTGGGACTAAGGGAAGGATTACAGGTCTGCTGTTGGATTAAGCTACTGGCACTAAAGAGGACTGCATCTGCTGCTTAGAAAAAGTACCAGGTCTTCCCAGGCCAGCAGCAGGGGCTAGAAGCCTCACTCCACAGCAACTTTAGCTACCCTAAGGCCTCAATAAAAACCAGGATTGTGTTGCTTTTCAGGAGCTTTTCACCATGAGCTTTTCAGAAAAAGGGCTCTTGCTTTGCTGGTGAGTGGTGGCTGATCCATCAGTGGTTAGTAACTGGATGCACCCAAAGCTGCCCCAAAGCTGCTGATCCTTTCCCTGGGCTCTGAGACATGCCTGTGAAGTGGCCTGACAGGAGGAGGCTGCAGAGCTTTGCATCTTGTTGAGGGCACAGGCACAGTCGAGCACGAGGGGAGCCTTAGGGGAGAGTTTTACATTTGCCCCACGCTGCTCTCTGTCTAATCCTACCGCCATCAATTCACTGCACAAGACAAAAGCAGGCTGAGGGCAAATGACCCTGACCTGCCCATGCCTTTCTCAGGCTCTTTTGGTTTCAAAGAGTAATTTCCCAGCATTGCTACGACAGAATCAGAACAGTCATGAGACTCCAGCAAGACAGGCAGAAACTCCCAGTTACTCCCCTTACTTAGCTGCACTTTAATCCCAAATGTCATGGTAGTCCCAAGCGCTTCTTCCTGCAAAATGTGATTGCATTCTGCAGCCAAGATCCCTCTTGCTGGCAGAAGCATGGTGGCATTACAGAGATAGTCTCAGCTTTTGGTTAGTTAAGCAGCAAAGCAAAATGCAGGAGACATTGTGCTTGCTGAAGTAGCTGGTGATTCTCGATCATCAGGTAAGAACACATCAAGAGAACTGTCAATTTTCAGATCAGTGTGAATCTTTTAAACACACTGTGTTCCAAGGACTGAAAAGCAACCTAGATTAAAATGGAATGTGCTGTTCCCAACGGAGTGCTGCAGGATGGGTGGGAGGTTTGCCCCAGCTTTGGGATGCAGTCATGTGCTGCAGTTAGCATGGATGTGGCAAGTCCCTGGCCAGGAGGCTGTCTCAGTGCCTGTGTCACAGTGCTACTTAGGAAGGCAACGTGTGGTCACTGTCCCCATTGCGCCTCCTGTCCCACCCTGCATCTTGGCCTACCTTTGGGATCAGTGGTGCCCTGTTTTTTCCAGCTTGTGCAGGTTCTGAATGGCAAACAGCACAGTCATCCACGTCCATATTGATTCCTCAGACTAGTATTGATCAGCCTGGTAACATATAGGTAATATGTAATTAGTAACTTAGATAAAAACAGCACCAAGAGGGTGTACAACCAAGCTGCCTCTGTCCTCCGACCTTTGGTAGCATCTCCACAGTTGCAGCAATTAGAGGGGTCATAGCCTGGTAATTGCTGACCTGCTGTTAAAACACTGTGGGAGTCTTCTCTTTCCTGCTGCTGTCACTACCATGAGAGGCAGTTTTGGAGTGTGCCTGATGGGATCTCTGATGGCCAGGTACCAGTAGTCATGATTGAAATAATGGCACCAGCAGCTGTTGGGGATGCTGGAGAGCAATGTCTGAGGACATTGCAGGGGCCACTGGACGGTGGGGACATGCCCACTGCTCCCAGGGTGCTGGCAGTGTCACAGCATGGCCCCTGCAACACCTCATTGAGGAGACATAAATGGAGCAGACACCTGCCCAAGGCAGGGGACAGTTTGGGGTTGTGTCACCAGTGCTGCAACCAACACTAAGAATGTTCAGGAATGGCTGAGGAGAAGGGGGAGCCATTCTCAGATTGTGCAGCTGTTCCCACCTGCTCCAACACAGCCTGGGCAGGGGCCGACCCATAACCGGTTTCCTGAAGGGCGTTCTCATGGCTGCGGTGGGAGCCCCATCCTGTTGACAATAAGGATTGTTTGTCACAAGACAGCCCTGGGAATCTGAAGAGGAACTTGGCAGCGGAGGCAGGGGGAAGCAGCGCCCTGTTGTCCAGCCATTGATTTGATTTAAAATCACCCAAAGCTTCCCCCATCCCTATTTTAAAAATAGCATCTTGGCTTTTATCACAGAGCCCACACGGTCCCTCTTCCTGTGGCAATAACGTCTTGAAAAACATGCTGAGTCTTGATGCTGGGTATGTTCAGTCACCAGAGTAGCATTGAAGAAATGCTGCCATAAAGCTGTTTCCAGCCATCCAAGAAAGGTTGCCCAAAACTGCAAGATTTGTCTAAGCAAGAGAAGTGCCAAAAATAAAGCAAAGTCCAGTCCTGATGTGAAGTGCTTGGGCATGAAAGTAAAAACTAGCAGCATAAACCCTGACCTTGGGGATGGGTCCAGCTCCTGAGTCACAAGGACAGCACTTCTGTTTTCCCGTTGCCTTCCTTTTCTGTAAAGAGCAATGCTCCCATCACAGCTGTAATTGCATGATCCTCATCACTGCTCAGGTCCTCATTGCCATCTTTACACTCTCCCCTCTGCATTTCACATCTCATCCTTGCAATAGAGACAGTGGTCAACACCGTTGGAAGCAATAATTTCCCCCCCTGTTTTCTTTAATTACATTTGCAAAGTTGAAAAACTGCCTTTGGCATGTTATTATTAAGTCAGTGAACTCTCACTAATTCCTGACACAACTAATACACGTCTGATGCTAGGAGCCTGCTGACAGGCCTTTGCTGCAGCCCAGCCCGAGAGGTGCTTTGCTCCAGTGCCAATATTGCTTATGCCTGACTTATGTGTGCTCTCAAGTTTTACACTCACTGATGCAGATCCTCTTTTGCAGCATTTTTTGCCAATTTGCTTCAGAACTCAGCTCAGTAAAAGCCATAACAATCCTGGGTCTTAGGCTAATGTGTCCTGGAGCAGAGACTGCTCTGAACACTGTGGAGATGCTGAGCACCAGCACCAAAGCCCAGATGATGCTATTCCACCAGTCTCTGCAAGAGAATTTGATGAACTCCCATGTTAAAACAGACAATTGACTTTTTTTCCATCTACCTTCCAAGTGGGCGGTGTCTCCTGGGAGGATGTTGCAGAGGAGCAAAATGAACTTGCCAGATCTGCAGATAGACAGGAATGAAAGTGGAACCACAGACATTGACTCAAATTCGGCCTTTCACTGGAGGAAATTTCTGTTCCTGCTGAAAAAGTAATTTCTCCATGCTCTTTGGTGCATACATTCATGTGATAGATCATCTTGGTTTGAGAACCATTTCATTTTACTTTGAAAACCTAAAATCTTCACTGGAGAGACAGACCATTAAACTTAGCAGTAAAAGGGAGAAGGGCTGGCAGCTTTCCTAACAGCCAGGTTAAGGGTACATTAGCCTTCCCAGGGTTTAAGCTCATTTCATACGAGGTGCAGAGCTGCTGAAGGGGAAGGGGCCAGATCCTGGCTGCACTGTACAGCAGCTGAGCCCCACTTCACCCTCCGTGAGAGAAGTTACGAATTCATTTCTGTCTCTGACAGTTGGACAGTTTTCTTTCTTCTGCTTAGTTCTCAAACTCTCCTTTGCTTTTCTTCAGTTCTGCCAGTTGGCACAAACCCTCTGACATGGTGCCTTTGCCCTTCCTTCAGGCAGGGAACACAGCAGGAGCAGTATGTCTGGGCTAATGCTGGAGGCAATGTATTTCTCTCTAAATGAGTAGCCTCATTGAGAGAATAAACCAGCCATGTCCTTTCACTGGTTTCTTGGAAAAGGGCAATACATTTCCAGTGACATCAGTGACAGAAGCAATATCCTTTCATTGCTGTCATTGAAAAAGAGCAGTTTTATACTGTGGGAAAGGACTAGTTCTGTTGTACAAAACATATTTCCTATTGCCTTAAATCTGGGGAAATCCTTGTCATATTAATATGTGGCTGAATTGCTTCTCTTTCAACAGTTCTCCTGGGGATTTGAGTTTAGGTCAGTTACTGCACTTGGATGCAGTAACAGTCCATAAAAAGTATATTTTGTAAATAATAACAGTGCTTTGTAATAAGTGGGAATGACAAATAACAAGTGCCACTGAGGCTCCAAAGACTGAGGAAATACAAGCCAGCCCCAAGGACCCCAGCACTGTGCCAGAGCCATATCTTTCAGATGGCGAAAATCTATACTTCCGTTTTAGAGGGAATTTGCTTCCCTTTGTCTGTGTTAATTTCCATTCAGTTTACAGGCAGTTAGTTGTTCCTTCTTCTACAATGCAGGACATTTACTCTCATTCTGTCATTTTCAAGGTACCAGCATGGAGCTCAGGGGTGTTATCAGAATGTTCTTCCAGACATACCTTTCCTAGCAAGCTCCCTCACACCACATGAGCTTTTGGGGAGAGATGGCTTTGATTATGGTTCATCTTTCGTGGAGCTTAACTGTGCTTGTTGGTTGTTGCAGAAGAGAACCACTGCATGAGAGGGTCCTTCTTCCCATTTAAGTTCAGGCTGCAGATAGCACAGAAAGGACATAATAGACCAGCTCCTGCAAAGCTTCAGAGCATCTATCAGTTAACAGCTGTCATTAGTGGCTCCCCAGCCTGCTTACTGCATGCCCACAGTGCTGGGAAGAAGCATGTCTCCTTACCTCCTTGCTATGTGATTGTGAGCTTCAGGTGGTATTTCCCTTCAGAAACAGTTCGGCTTTTCCCTTTTTTCCCCTGGCTTGGCTCATGTTTGTATCTGCTGTTGCTGGGAAGAGGGAGACAGACCCTTGCAAGCCTCTTCCAGGGCCACCTGAATATCCTCCTTTGCTATGGGGAACGGAACTCCTAGCTGAATTTCATGCATCCTGAAGCAATTACATAAATGTCGCATGATCTTTATTGACTCATCCATCTGGACTGTGTGGTGTAATGCAGAGAAAAAAATCCCCATTCTCTCCAATGCTAACAGGGAGCTCAGGACTCAGAGGCAGTTTGTAGTTCAGTCTGCTCAAGAGAAGCATGCATATCAGGGAGTTTTGGTCAACCCCGGTGTCCAGCCCTCCTTGTGTCTGTCAATTTTGGAAGGTTTTGGCCTTATGGAAAAATAGACGCTGGCTTTTGTGTCAGATGTAAATGTTTGCTGGGCTGGTTGGATCCTCACTAATGTAACAGCCAACTGAACGTGGGTATGGACAAGGACCTGTCAGGACACAGCAATGAGGGCAGCACATACAGCCGTCTGTCAGCATCAGCATGCTGCCCTGAAACCTGAAAGTTGATGCCAGATTTAGGATGAAGCAGTGAGTCCCTATATGCTTCAAAATCTGTCCTCCTGAGATTAGATGAAGCTCACGCTATCTGTAGATTCACCTGGAAAGTCATTCTGGGGCGTTGCTGTTGCTGTACAGCGGAGATGTGTTGGCCTAGCCTTGGTGAGCAAGGTGATAAATCTGCGCTGCAGCTGCTCACTGTCCTTTGTGTTGCAAATTGCCCAGGCAGTTAAAAACGGCTGTGCTGGTGCATCAGCCAGTCCTGCTTTAAGAGAAGGCACAGAGATAGGAGCTATGAAGGTCAGACAAAATGGGCCTTTCCAACACCACAGCCCCAGATGGCCAGCAGGATCCCAGATAGCTGGGTCAGACCCCTCACGGGGATGTGGGGCATTTCAGTCCTGCTTTGCTTGCTGTAGATGAGCATTTGGTTTCAGTATCCTGAATGAGTAACTGGCAGGAGGTGCTGGGTAAATTGGGGAACCAGCCCTGAGAGTGGATGTGTGAGCAGTGGCTCTGGGCCAGATCCCACTTCCTTCTTGCACAGTTTGATAATGCAGGTAGTCTGGCAGAGGTCTCTGTCCTTGTGTGGGCACATAGCACAGCTCCCAGGCAAGCGCTGGCTTGGAAATGTTTTGCTCTGCTTTCCCATCTGAATCTATGCTGAGTCGTACTTCTTTGCTGGTAAGGAACAGATCTTCTAGGAGGAGAATTTATCCCGCGCTGAGTGTAAACACAGATGGAAACATGGTGAAGCCCTTTTCAAAGTCACAGGAATAAATCTGTCTAAGACTGAACATCTGGGGCACTGAAAGAGCAGGTGGAGACCTAACCCAGGAAAGGACAGTGGTGCTAAGGGATGGCTGTCTGGGGAAACGGTACAAACTGTGGGATAGTGGAAGTGTCTAACATGGGGAAATTGCCCCAAAGAGCAACAAAAGGTTCCAGAAAGATTACCATTTGGGATCTTTTCAAAAGACTCCTTCTGTTTTTTTCGTCCTGCGAGTTGCATCCCAGGCACTTCTGATGGACCAAGTTGGTTGGCTTTTCCCCTGAACTAATCTCATCTGACCTATCTAAGGCAGCATGAGGGGGATGCAACCCCGTGTGTCTTCCAGCTGCTAGGATAAACAGGATTTTGCTCCCTGGTTAGGCAGCAACTGCAGAAGCAGCTCTGCCCTGGAAGAGCAGACCTGACATAATCATATTGCTGGGAATTAGCTTCATTTTGATGGTTTGGTCAGCTCTTCTGGTCCAAGTGGCGCATTTTCTATGCTTCACAATAAGAGCACTCCTGGACAAAGGCTTGGTCCTGAAAGGCTTTAGTCACTTGCCTAACCAAAAACTAAAAACATGGATAAGTCTTGGATGTCTGAGGAAATGTTAAATAGTGTTCTTCTCCCACCCATAACCTTGGCAGAGCATGGCTCTGGCTGCTAAAGCTGATAAAATGAACAGCCCCTGTTGCTCCTGGTAGGGATACAAAAATATAATTACTTGATGAGTGACTTACGATTCAGTGAAACAAGGATCTTCTCCTTTTTGATTGAATTATGCAGCAGTATTCCTAGAAGACTGGAAGCAGATGGTGAGCTCTGGCCAGGCATTTAACAGCCTGAGTTACTGTGTGGAAGGGATGGAGCTGAGCAAGGCTGCAACATGTCACTCCTGCCTTTCTGCTTGCCTTGGATCACCATTGTGGTGTATTCCCTGGGAAAGGAGAGGCTGTAGGTTAGGGTGGGATGGGCTGTTGCAACGGATGGAGGTGTGGAGTGTGTCCAGCAGCAAAGGGCTGGTTTTACAGCAGCAGCATGCAGCCCAGGTGGCAGCAAAAAAAAGCAAAAATGTTGTTTCTGCAAAGCCAGTGCTGCTTTGGTCCCAGGTAGGCACATTGTGACAGCAATCCCAGTCCATGTTGTTACAGGACCATGTGGACCTGGGAGGTGGCAACTAGCCTCCTGTCATGCAGGTGAGCTTCCATCCCTTTGGGCCCAGGAGGAGCACAGGCAAATGCAGACAGTCCCCTGGGCTGGGCTGGAACAAACGCTGCTGTATAATTTGTGCTTCGCTGCTTCTTCTGCCCCCATATATCTTGAGCACATCAATAAAATCAAACAGACTATTAGCAGCATGTCGTATTATCAGCTGTGGATGTGTGTGCTGTGCATCAGGCAGCCATGCAGCCTGCATTTTATGAAGTGAGCTGCTCATACTACTGCTGCAGTTGCAGAAATTATCACACCCCTCACAGCTGGGCAATACTCTGGCTTTTATGAGCTACCCTAAATCAAAGGCCCTTTCTTTTTAAAGAGAAATTAACAATTCTATCCCTTTCTACTTTTTTTTTTTACTGGCATCACAGCCAGCAGATTATGAGGTGAGACACAAATCTTGTTGCTGAATTGTGCCCACTGCATTGTCTTTTTGCATATTTTTATCAAATAAGCAAATGTTCTTTTGGAGCTCTGAAGTCCTTATGAGGGAGACTCATTTTCTGCTACCATGGTCTCTTTGTGCTGAGTGGGTGATGTATGAAAAGGAATTGCAAATAGCTGTTTACAGCAAGCAAAGTCACGGAACAGCCCACTTCAATTTCTGCTATCTGTTAGAGACTGTTGTCAGTGATGGTCAAAATTAATTAAGCAGGAAGGAAGAAAGCAGGGAGGCAGTACGCATCCAGTTCTGACACTGAAATATTAATGGTGAGCTAATCAAGAAAGAGTATCTATGAATATCTAATCAGCTTACAGTTTGCATTTTTACTAAGGCAGTCAGCTTCTGGGCCACAACCCTTTCCAGGAGGTGTGAGGAGAGGAGATGGCTGCCTGATCACTCTATCTGGGAATAAACAAAGAGCTTGTGCCTACATCAGGAACTGAGGCACATTTGTCTTTTGCACCTCACAGTCCTGCTGCCACTGGATGCTGCTGTATTCTCCTTGCTGTCACCTACAGCAGCCAGGTCAGAGGGTCCAGCCCACAGCATCTCCCATGCTGTGCTCCTTCCTCCTCAATGCTATAGGGCACTCGGAGGGTTCAGCTCCTCCAGGACTGAGCTGCAGCATTTGTCCATATCCAGGTCTTGGCAAAACCTCAAAACACAGCACCTCTTGCTTTCACTGCATGCCTGGTGCAGGGCACCCTGCTGGAGGCAGTGGGCTGTGTTCCTGTCTCTGCTGCCAGTCTGTGACTGGTGTTTCCACCTCAAGTTTCCAGGCTGTTCTGGGAGAAACAGGGGATGGTTGTGTCATAGTGTCAGGGTGCACTGCAGACCCCCAGTGCCCAGTGCCTGCTCTGGGCACAATGACTGCAGAGGGGACTCAGCTGCTTTCACTGACCCACCAAACAAGTGTAAGAAAATGGGAGGAAACAATCCGGTGGCAAAGCCAGGCTGATTCTAATCAAAGTCACAAAAGTAAATACCACCTTTGGGTGCCAGGAGGAGTAAAGCGACATTTCTCTCTCTAACATCAGCGTAATGAGGGCCGTGGCTTTGGAGATTTGTATTGCTCTGTTTCTGCAAACAGCTCCCTCCTCTAACCTCTTGGAAATTGGATTTTGTGGGGCTGAGCAGTTTGTGTGCAAGCAGATAGCAGCAGGACTGATAAGCAGAAACCTGTTTACACACTCATTCATATCTAATGCTACAACTGGGCAAGGGACTGCCTGGATTATTTTTTATAATTTCTTTTTTTCCACACTATCAAATGTAATTCTTTTGGCTGGGTATCTTGTTGCTGCTTAACAGGGAGAAATCTGAGCTGGGCAGTTTTAATAGGCAACAAATGTGGAAATAATGTGAAGCAAAGGATAAGGTAATAAGCAAATCTTAAATAATAAGGAAGAATCGACTGGTGATCAGTAGGGGACAGCATACTTACACTTTCTTGGAAGAGGTGGTATTTCACATATTGCCAAGTTAGCAGGAACTGGTCACAGCCCCAAATGCAGAGAGTCCTGGCATGTCACTCTGACAGCAACAGGGAGCTTCTGGGAAAGGAAAATGGAAAGCAGATAGTTAAGAATAGCAGGGAGGTACCAGGGTTGTCCAGGAAGGTGATTGCATCAGTACCCTCTGGTCTGTAGCAGTGAGAAACCTTGCTCCAGGTGCATGGGCACCATGATGCCCACCTCCAGTTCCTTTGGACTGATGGTGGAGTGAGTAGCAGAGGTTTCTCAAGGAGGAGCTCTCTGAAATGTGCTTCTCTGTTGCTCCAATACAGCCCAAATCTGTCAGCCTTTAGGGCTTGCTGTGAAGGTCATCTGTGAGCAAGGCTAATTATTTCAAGCAAAGCAGCAGGTAATGCCACTAACCTGCTCACAGGTACTAAGCTCTGCCCTGTGCCTTGACTGTGTAGCTGCACATGAGCTGCAGGGAATTACACAGATGCAGGGGGTGTATGTTAAGCCTACAGCTATAAACATAACCCACTGGCACGTATCATGAGCACAAAGAGGGAAACACACATTTTTCATAGCTGATTCATGCAGTTGTCATGAAGATGCTGTTCAAGCCAGAAGGTAGTTACCTCTTCTTTCCGCCGTTTAATTTTCTTTAATCTGCTCATGACATTTATTGAAAGAAGTGTTTTATGCACATCAAAGCCAAAGATTTCAAAACATCACATGAAAAATTATTTAAGGTCAGCCCAAGGGAGGATATGGTAGCAAACATGAGATGGAAGATTCTAGTTTCTACAAGGAAGGTCTGTGAAAAATGAGAGGTCACGCTAATCTGTGGACCAAGGGTCCATTTGGACCTCTGGCAGTAGTTGCAAATTGGGGGTTTTATATGTTATGAAACCTTCACCAGTCTAAGCAAGGCTGTCCTTCATATGAACAGGTTCAGAATGAAAGATATCTGATAACATCTTTTCAGGAGCCTCTTCATGTGGGCTAAGAGTTTCCTCTGCCCAATGTTGGCCCAATTTGCTTTGCCTGGGGCAGTGCTCACAGGGATGTGTGCAGAGCTGAGCCATCCTTTGCCTTCACTCTCCGTAAGAGTGTTGCTGCTTCTCCCATGATTTAATGAGCCAAAGCACTTGACAAATTGAATGAGTTGCTGAAAGTGAATCCAATGCAGGGGCCAATCCTGCAGGATGCCTCTGGATGTGTTGAGCATCCCAAATGCCAAAACTGAAGAAAGGGAAATATATAAGATCCTCAGTAAACGTCTGCATTTAACTCATTTTACATGGGTAGAGGTAACAAGCTGACAGAGTTTAATTTATAGCTCAGTTCTATGCTGATTGCAAAGTACACATTTCCAGCCAGCAATCGTTAGTAAATCACTTTCCCACCAGTTCTCTTGGCATATAAAAGAAATTCCTCCCTTTCCAACATTTAAAAAAATCCTACTTCAGTATACGCTCCACGACTTTATTGCATTTTGAATATTTAAGAGGGTTAGAATCTACAACCTCAACCTTTAACAAATGTACAGTAACGTGGTAACAAATTTGCCTCGAACAGCTGCTATGTTGGTACCAACTGGCACGAAAAGGAGGGGAGTAATTGGCTTGTTTTCAGATAATTACCATAATTGTAGTGACACCATTTGGATCCCATCGAGCTGCGTTCCTGCTGCATGTTGGATAATTTAATAATTGGCAGAATTTAGACTGACAGTAAAGGTAAAGTCAGCGTATGGTGGAGAAATGAGCAGGCACCTCCCTGTGATTCTGGTACAGGCCCTTCTGTTCTTGCTGTGGCGTTTAGCAAAATCTTCAGATTTTGCTGCTTTTCTTAAGCCCTGTGACTAGTTCACACTTTTGTTCCTTTTCTGATGCTTGACCTGATGAGACCACATTTTGCACATTTTTGATTTGAGATAGATCACTTCAGTCCTAACCAAATTACTTTCTTTGTGCACTGAGTATTTTTAGCTGCCCTAGTTCTGCTGGGGGCTTGTCAGAGCTCTGCACTGAAAGTGGATTAAACCAGTCAGGTGCTTACAGGCAGCAGCCAAATGCCTTTCCTGGAGCAGGGATCCTCTGGAGCAGGGCTCATTCCCCTGACTGAACCCTCCCAGCTGCAGGGGCAGTGGGGAGCAGAGCATGTTGAGCTCAGCGTTGATGCACTGGAGGGAACTTGTCCCCTTTGTGTCTTCTTGTGCTTGCTGCTTGTGGCCAGCGTGAAGGGGTCTCAGCATCTCCTGTGTTTCCAGTCCTGACAGCTGCCCAGGCAGAGTCCCAGGAGCTGGGAGGCTGCAAGGTAAGGTTAGGAGATGGCTGAAGCTGCTGGGGAAAGACAAGGTTTTATCAGATCAGCTGGGCATTTTTGCCAAGGAGTTGCAAACTGAAGCAGAGCACTGAGCTGGTGCCTCACAGGGTTGGTATGAGTACCAAGAACCTTCCTGCAGTACACAGCTGTGGCCTTGTCCTGCCTCCATTTCTGCTTTGCAGTGCAGAGGTGAAGACACCTGACAGCAGTACTGACAGTTCCCAAGGAGAGGGGTCCCAATGGGAGAGGTGACTGCTGATGATCTGTGATGAGCTGTAGGTCTGTGATGCAGCCAATGCTCATTACGTACCAGGGAGGGCTTTGGCACAGAGTGCTCCTCTCTAATAAACCTGTCTGCCAAGATGACGTTGACGGCTCCATCCCAGCCTTGGGTACCTGGGCAACACTGGTACAGGAGGGGAGGGAAGGGAGATGACTAAAAAGCAAATCCCCAGGCTCTGGGGGTTTGATCTCTAGTGTAGCGTGGGAAGGAATGAGAGCATGTGCCAGACCAAGTTTGCAATGCTAGGGCTACATGCCTGGGAGCGGATGGCTGATCCCAACACATCCCATCTCCCTGCCCCTCACACAGAAGCTGCAGGGTAACCGTTTCCTTGCAGCATTCCCTCCCCCTCTGTGATTTATTGCTGCCAGGAGGCTGTGCATGTGGAGGTGGCATAAATCTCACCCAAAAGAGAGAGAAAGAGGAAATTTGCATTCGCTCCCTCACTGGCATACTGAATGCAGCTTTGGAGTTCACTGCTGAAACCCTGAGCAGGTCCCAGGTGGAAGGCTGAGGCACTTCCCTCAGTATAAAACAGGGACAGTGACAGGGTCTTTTATCCCTGCCAGAGGAGGCTCCCACAGTCAGCCAGGAACAGCTCACCCAGTTATCCCTAGATTATCTTCAGTCCACTCCTATTTATAATGCATGGTAACAGCCTGCATAATTCTGTAGTGTTTAAAGGCTTCAAACATTCACTGTGCTCCCCTCTACTGATCTGCCAACAACCACAAACCTTTTTAATAGCTTTTTCTCATTCAGACCTTACAATCCTCCTAGTCATCTCTGCCGGGTCTCACCCACCTCCCTCCAAGTTGGTTACATTCTCCTCCTGTGCAATGCCTCCAAAGCTCTCCCAGAGCAGACAGGCATTGTGCTAGAGTTAAAATCTTGCAAGCTGCTGCTGGAGACTACAGAAAGCAATTAGGGAGATAATAGTCAAGACCATGGTCATGCTGCTGCTATGGGTCTTGATGTCCTGTCACAAGCAGCCAGCCTGGACTAAGAGGCTTTAAAGTAACATAGCATGAGCAAAGAGGAAAGCCTAGCAATTGTTGTCTCTGAGATTACATTTTGATGGGAAACCTGTCAGTGTTTTCATATGTTGACAGTAAACTGGATACAAGGCAAACCAAGAAAAGCAAGAGAGCAAGGAGAAAATAGTGTAGATACATTAATCAGGGGCAAAAGTAGGAGGTAGTCTGCAAAACTCTGCTTCTGCTTGGGCTAATGGCTGTAAATAGCACTGAAGCCATGGAGGAAGTAAAGAATTAATTACAGTTCTGAGACCCAATCCCACTTCCAGCCACAGGCAGCATTTATTAAGATCTCACTGAGGCGGGAAAGATTGAACAAGGGACTCAGGGGACTACGAAGGGGAAAAGAATTAATCAGTTTATCTCAGGAGACTGGAGAAGTCAGATTGAATAAAAACTGGAAGTGAAATGAATGGGGGAACAATGTGATGGAAGCCTTGACCTGTTTGAAGGAGAAAATCTGGAGGCACAGACGGGAGCAGTCCCATTGGCTCTAGTCCCCCAGTATAGAAGCTGGGGAGCTTTAGGGGAAAGGCTAAAAGTTTGCCTTGACTTCTTTAATAGCTTTAGAAATGTTACATTTAGACCTCTTGGTTCTTTTGCCTTTGCCATGCAAGGCAATGCCAGCTCTTCTACCTCTGATCCTCGCTCCAGTGCATCATGAAGGTGTCCAGGAACCCATGCCCAGTATCACCGGGACCTGAGAGCCATTCCTCAGCCTCCAAAATTCCCTGGTAGCCAAAGGAGGGGTAGGAAGGGAAGCTGAAGCCAGCTGAATGAATAGATGTCCAAACCCCACATGTCCCACAACCAACACCCTAAAAGGAAGATTTTTGTCCCTGCCCATTGTCAGCCCAGTGTTTTCCATCACAATAACATTCAATTATTTCTCCTCTAAAGTGTACGACATTTTCTTCCCTCCTTTGTGCTGTTGCTTTTCTGCCTGTCCCTCTGAGAAAGGTCACTGGGCTTCCACATTCCTGCTGTGTAATGAGCTGTGACAAAAGCTCCCAATGCTGACCAGCGATGAGGTCAAAGAGTTTTAGTGGGAATTGAACAACAACATCATGAGGAGGGAGCCTGTCCCCAGCTTGTGAATGGGTGTCCCATTGCCAAGCTCCTTCCCCTCCACACAGCTCAGTGGCAGAAGCTTAATGGAAGCCACATTAGAGACTTCTCCCCCCTTGGAAGTCCCAGGCCTGATATACAGCCATAAATAAAACCTCATCTAATCAAAGTAAACTGTGAATGGGGGAACATGCTTTCTCCTCCTTAGTAAGTTTTCATCTCCAGGAATCAGGAAAGCATTCCTGTTTTTCTGGCATATCCAGAAATGGGCTCTTGCAAGAAAGCTTTAATAGAACTGCAAAGTGCACGTTGATTCAGCAGAGAGACCTCCAAAGCCCTTCTTACTGTTGGCTGCAACAGGAACACTTCCCAAGAAAACTGCTATTTAGGAAGTTCCTGACTTTACTAGATCAGCCTCTTTCACAGAAGTACAGCTCTGTGCCTGTTTTAATCAAGCTTCCAGGTTACTGAAAATTACTGGTTATAGTAAAGCACGGAAAACAGCAAAGCAGGTTGCAAGGAAAAGACGCTGTGTTAACCGCTGTGTTGTGCAATCCTGAGGATGACAGAAAGCTTCGCAGCAGGATGTTTTTTTTTCCCCTGTGTTACACCAAAGAACAGTCAAACAAAAAACGTACATTCTGCTGATTCTCTAGTGGTATTTCCTAGCAAAACCACTAAATACTGTTTGGTGTGTTAGCTGGAGTTTAATATGCACAAATGATGGGAGGGAGGGACATGCACTGTGTTACAGTTAATGGTTTTTGAAACCTGGCATTTAGAAGTTGTATGTCCATGTAATGTACCTCTACCATCCTAACTCTCTGATGTCCAACAGTGACAAAACCTGGTCCTTCTGACACTGAGCACTAGCACCCACCTGGCTGCATGGTGTCAGCCCCTTCCCTTCAAGGCAGAACTGACTTCATATTTAAGGTGAACAAACCACCAACCTACAGCTGCAGGCAAGACTTAAAACCAAATCCAGAAAACCCAGTATGTTCTTCAACACATGCATTGTTTTTCAGACCAAAAACAGCCAGAGAACTCAATGTGAAACTGGCACAGAGATATATTCTTCAGAAAGCTAATGAAAAGGATACTTGCATGGGGGTACAGATAAGACAGGAAATGATTTCTACTTTCTTTACTACTAGATTGGAGGTACCCAGTTGCACCCGTCTGCTTTTTTTGTAGTTGGTGCTACCCAGTGATACCTCACATGTAGACAGAGGTTACTGTTATCTAACCAATACAAAATCTTCTGTCACTTTCCCGTCAGGCTTCTCAAATGTGGTGGTGAAAGACTCGATGCATCTCACTTTAATGCCCGTTGGGTTTATTGATGGGTCCCAAAATTAGATCAGCACACCCTGGCAGGCTCAGTAGCTTAGCTAGGCTTGTTACTTTAATGAAACACTAATTGCTGCTTCTGTAATCTAAAGAAGTGTCTTTGGTCCTGCCGCAGCTTCATTTAAGCAGTGTTAATTGCCAAAGCTAATTATGCTGCTGTTGCTCCTAGATACGGGTTCAGGTTAGGTCTATAAACAATAAAACCAGTAGCCCGTCTGCTGTAGCTGACGCGACCTGTGCAAGGCTGCAGCTCTGTATGGTGCTGGCTGAGGGCATCTCTCTGCTCTCAGTGCTTTCTGTGCACAGCAAAGCACAGGACAGGTCCTTTGCAGGGAAAAGGAGTTACATCCCTGTCCACTCTGCACAGGACAGGACCAGGGAGGTGACAATTTCTAGACAAGAGACCTTGCAACAAATCTTCTGCTAGAATAGGATTCCAGTTTTGAGAGGCAAAAACGGAAGAAAGCTTGCTGTTCCTCAGTTCCCCAGGTGCAGGTTTTATTTACCACTTTAAGCAGCTATCCTAAAAGGCCTGAAATTTCTTCTGTGTTGCAATTAGTGGAAAGTAAGAAGCAAACAGAAGATTTGGGGTTCCACTTCTCCAAGACAAAAAACCCTCCAAACGCCTTTTTGGTTGTACATCCCATGTCTGTTTCAGCGAGGAAATTCCCAACTGAAAAGGTGCATTACACCAATTAAAACACCAGAACTTTCTAAGATCTTTCTGACAAACAAGCTTACTGGTAGGGTAAGATATTTGCTGCTTAGAACAGCCTCGTATAATTGCTCCAAAGGGATTACTCTGCCAGGCCCCTTGGAAACCTCCACTTTGGGACTGGAGGCAGAAGCAGCCTGGAGTTGGCAGCTGTGCTACTGTTGCTAAAACCAGTGTGAATCTTCACCAGCATGCCGGTGGCTCAGAGCTGACAGCCAAACCACAGCAGTCAGGGAGAGCCACGAGGAAGGAAATTTCTCATGAGCTTGGCCATGCTGCCTTACTGCTCTCCTCCTCGGTGCTGGAGAGAAGCAAAAGAAAGAGGGCAATGCTATGGGTTATTATTCTGGAGAGGACTTTACAGAATCCTGCCTAGGAAACATGCAGTAAAATAGATTTTATCTTAGATCCAATTAACAGCTGAGTTACGGGACTCAAGTGAAATAAAGGGTGGTGAAGCTCCAAGACTATTTACATGATTTATTAGAACACGGCTGTCTGCAGGAGTGGGCGGCAGCCGTTATGTTTTATTTATGAGGACACGAGGGGGAAAGGGCTCAGCTATCAAGCTGCTGGGGGGTTCCTACCCCAGTAGCGAACAACTTCTACAGCAAAGGCACTAACAGCCCCCCTTTCACTAGCATTGCTAGCTGTTATGGGACTCATTGGCATATCAGCCATGGCTCACCAACTGGGCTCGACAGAGCTGCTGGTGGAAAAGCACCATTCATTTCCTCTGACTGGCTTCAAGGTTTATACAGAGGGAAAAGCCAAAGCTTAGAGATCCAGAAATAAAAACTAAAATCCTTGGAACTACTAGCAAGGAGCAATGCATGTAGTGGGAGTTTTTGCAGCAAGCATGAAGAAGGTAAAACATGGGTCCTCTCATCTCTGTTTCTGAAACTTCCCATTTTAAGCATCTTCCAGGCCAGAAAGGGATATTTGAGCTGACAGCCTTGGAAGAGCTCCACAGTTTGATGTTTTTGTGTTTGTAGAGGAAGCACAGAAGGATTTTCAGTGACAGATGAAATCTGCAGTCCTAACACAACCAGTTAAAGTGATTTTGCCTCTTGAAAGCCAAACTATAAGGTTTCTATCAAAGAGATGTTTGATACCAGGTAACTAAGTATTGTGAGAAAAATAAGAGTGTCCATAGTTTTCTCACATTGCAATCAGTATTTGTATAAAATAGCTGCTTTCCCTGGCTTGCATAGCAATGCACAGGAGTCACACCAGCTGCTGTTTAATTGTACTTCTTTTTCTTCTGTAATTTTTCAGAAGCAGCTGATGTGCAGTGGTAGGAAAATACAACCAGAAATAACGTGACTGTCTCTAACTGGCACCTCTCAAGAAAAGTGGCTTTGTTTGTTGGGTTTTTTTTAATACTTCAATGGTGTTCTGAATACCTGTTCAGAAGAGAGGCTCTGAAGCCCCGTCATATCACTATCACAAAACTGAGTGCTCCAGAGGGAAGAAGCCTGATTAGGTTTATTATTTATTGCTAGAGCAGCCTCAGAGCAAATCCCTTCCCAGCAAGACTATGTTCAGTTCCAGCATATGCTGTTTGGACCCGTAATTTGAACTTAAAAGCTTAAAAGTACTTTTTTTCTAATGGGTAGATGTGAGCTTTCTTCCAAATCTCTACAGGAGGTAGAAGGCTCTCCAGGGGGGTGTGTGCCTTTTTTCTGTTAAGTGTTTCTTTAATGGGTTCGGGGAGCAGCACTATCAGAAATCAGCCTTACAGTTGCAATTTAAAGCTTTGGTTCCCAACCACCTTCTCAGCTTCTTTGTTCACTTTATTCACTCAGTCTGATCTCTTATAAGAAAATCAGAGACCTCTCTCATGTGTTTCCAAAAGCTGACTTAAGTAGCATTTTTTAATGCTCATAAATAAAGTTAAAACATAATTTGCAGAGTAAGAGCCATCCATTAGAAGTCAGGTTGCTACATTTAGTCTTCTACTGTCAGAGAGAGAGCCAAGAATGCTGACAGACTGCTTGCAAGGTGAATTTCAAATAGAACCAAGTTTTAACAAAGTCATATGTGCATCTTGCTACCTAAAATGCAGTCACACAAATATCTCCAAGCTTTGGTATTCCTGAGTGACTGCTAACACAGCTCCCAGAGGCATCTGAAACGCGATGCAGTAAGACAGCTGAGCCGTATGGGGAGTTCTAGGCAATCGTTGTCAAAGATGTTGTGATCTCTCATGTCCCAATTTAGGGAGCACTAGAGAAATAGCAGAAAACATGATTTTAAATAAAGGGCAAGAAAAATGTTATATAAATGCATCAGCGGTGAAGTCTCTGCAGTAGAAAACTGCTGGGTTGTTTTTCCAATAGCATTTCATCCAATTCTTAGGTTTAAGACAATAAAACCTAGTTTATAATGTACACGCTCATTTTAATAAGGGACCTGTCTTCCTCAGTAGTGCTTTGGCATAGACTCTACTTATAACTCCATTGTGCTGAAGTGGCAGCAGCTTATTTTTTGCTTTTGAGAAGACAGCAGCACACAGTGTAATCCCTAGAACAGAGCAGAGATGAGTATGGTCTGCTCTTGCAGGAGTGCCAATGCTTGATTTTCACTAGGAATCACTAGGAATGCAGCCTCTCAGGAATATATGGTTGTCCTAAGAATTGATACTAGGTCTCCTGACTCACAGACAAGGTTAACCCAATCAACCATCCCTCCTTATTAGAAAGGGTTATTTTGCTCATTTCCTTTATCCAGATTTGCAATGCCAAGGGAGATGACGCTTGCAAAATTTAGCTAAAAGCTTTCAGCTGCATTCCCATGAGCACCAGTACAATGGCTGTTGCGCACAGGTGCCAAAAAGGAGCATTATTTGAAATAGAGCAGATTTTCAGGGTACGGACAAAGTGATTTGTTTCAAATCCTTCTCCAATTCCCTTTCCCTTGCTAGCCCGTCCACTAGAATTCATGTAGGTTTGATTGGAGCCACATGGGATGGTAGTCTCCAAGTATGACTCCCTGGGGTGCAGAGTAGAAGCACTGTTGTTGCAGAGTGAGGGCTCAGCAAGGAGCTCCCCTTCCATCCTACCTGACCAAAGCTGCCAGCAGGGAACCATTATGGGCAAATGGTTCCTCTGCCTCTTTTTCAAGAGCTTGAATTGGACCCAGAGCCCATTTTAGCCTATTAGTTTAGAATGAAGTCAGCAGAAAACCCAAACCAAATCATAGAAAAATCAGTGCAACAATTCAGAGTTTCAGTTTTATCAAGTTATTCAAAGTTTGGCAGCCAAGCAGTAACAAATGGCCATTAGCACTGTTTATTTACTGTCATGAAGCATCCAGTATTGCAAGGTGTACAGCAGATGGGAGGAACAGGCAGGCCCTTGCATCCAGAAACCTACAGCTTAGATTCAGTCATAGCAAAACAAGGGAGTTTTTCTACATCCCTCTCCCCATCCCCATCAAAATCACCATAAACTCTTAGTTTCAGGATAGTGCTGTTACTGCCAGTAATTAAAAGCCACAAGTAGAGCTACATGCAGTGTATTTGCTAGGCACTGAAGTGCTATGCACAAGACAACCCAGAACCTATCCCAGCCCCTCCTCGCAGTTTAAGCTATGGTGCACTTTGTATTGCAGCAGGTCTAGCTAGCACATACATGGGGCAGTTACTGCAGCTCAGACAACAAGCAGCATCATAAGCTAGGATGGTCTGATGACTTGAGATCACCATTTCACATTTAAATGGCCAGGTACAGCTTTGACAACCAGCAATTTCTTGGCTCAGCTTCTCTGCTCTTCCCTGCTCAGCCCCTAGGCACTCACAGCTTGCTCCTAGGGTGCTCCACACCCTGCAGTAAACCACCTTGCAAAGCTCATGGCTCTTACTCACCACCAAGCTCTCCCCTCCACCCCTGCTCACAAACTCCTCTTTAAAAACTGTGTCAGCTGCGAGGATGCAGATGGTCGCATTTGCATCAAACAACTTTTAAATTATCATTCAAATTAAATTAAATTGAAAATGCAATGAGCTGTTCCTGTAGATCCAGGCGCACAAAGACGAGTTAATGAAGGTCACATTTGTAACCAGTGAAAAACATTTAAACTGTATCATGCCTAGCACGGTATGCCATTAGAATAACATGTCCTTCTAAATCAGAATAAATTACTCTTGAAGGCCTTGTGCAGGATTGCTCCCTATTCCTAGGAAAAGCTGGTCTTTGGGACCTTTGTAGTTCGAACAGGGAGGAGTTGTGCTGGGTCCAGCAGAGCACCAGCAAAACTCGTTGGCCATGTGCAGAGTCAGGCCTCAGGCAGCAGTTTGGGCTGTGCAAGTCCTGCCTGCTCTCCTTGACTAAATGCAAAGCCAGGCGACCTCGGAAAGCCCTAAGTCAGCTGAGAGGCACTTCTACAAACAAGAAAGCTATAGCTTTGCAAACATGCAGTCTGTGTACCTCTGGTTGTAACTGCCTGGTTTAAATGCACAGAACTGCGTGCCTTTGCCTTGCACTGGGTTTGCAATCATCTTTGAAAAACTGCCCTGTGATGGCTTTTGAGACATCTGTCATCCGCACGGCTATGCGTTGTCGCAACAATGACATACAAATTAACCATACCTATTTCCATGTGCTGAGATGAAAAATGTTACCAGTTTGACTTGCAAGTGGCAGGGAACAGGCTGCTTCCTTGTGAGGCTTCCCACGGCCGGCTGCTGTTCTGACACCAGGCTGGGCTCCAGTAGAACACTGTGTGAATTCAGGAACTGAGCAGTTGACTGAGTGACCTGAGTCCAGGCAACCATGGAGCAATAACCTGAGCAAGCCAATGTGAAGCAGAAATTTGTAGTTCTTTCTCTCTCCTTTGCATGATACCATGCCTTATCTACAACTGCTACAGGCCACATCGCATGCTTCATCCTGAGAAATGAACTATCATTTAGTATATGGAAATAAACAGCAAAAATACATGCCAAATGCTCCTTAGCAACCAAACTCTTGTTTTCACAAGTTTTCTGTTCCTCACTCAGGTGTGAAGTCAGATGCTGAGAGATCAGAGAAACCTGTGAAATGGAGAGTAATAATTGGCAAGATTTTTGGCATCTGGAGATAGTTTTTACATGCAAAGGCTTAAGAGCTGTTGCTTTGCGACAATAGTAACCTGCTCTCACAGAAAAGAGCTAACACCTGCCATCAAATGGGGACTAAGATTGCTTTAATTAGCCGTGAAGGTTTCAGTTGCTTGAAAGTGACTGAGTGCATTCAAAATCTTAGAAAGCAAATGTTCTCAAATCCACCCATCCGTGTTTCTGACATATTCTAACAAAGGCAGTCAAGTCACAGCTGAATGCAGTTGATAATTCTTTGCTGTAAGAATCACCAGGTTCAGTTACTGAGCTGAGGATAGAAGGTTAACCCCACCTGTGAAATGTGCTGCTGGAAGCAGCAATGTGCTTTTGCATACTCTAAAAAGAGCATTCCTCAGAATTTTTCCTAAATGCCCCTAACGGTTATAAATCTGAGCAAAGCCCTTTTGATCTCAGTGGATGATGGTCTAATTTGTATCAGCACAACTGAGAACAAAGTCTGGACCTGAGTGTTCTGCTCAAAGCAAGCTTTTGTGTGATGGAATCTGAGAAATTGCAACAACTGGAATTAAACTATTTTACATAATCCATTCATAAGATACAGCTCATAAATAATAACAGGAAAACAAAATGTCAAGCCAAAATGATTAAAAAAACAAGCTTGCAAGCTGCCTTACAAATGAGAGGCACAATAGTAGCTCAGCAGTGAATGGTGATTTACACTCTGGTTTGTAAACCAATTTATTTATCAATAGCTGAAGTTAGAAGATTATGCAAAAATAACAAAGTCAAGGATATGTAACTAGGAGGAATCTATTACCATTGCTGCCTAGCTGTATTCAACAAAAGCATTTTGGACTTTGTCTTCTTTTTGATAACTGCACAACAACTCCCCATCTATAACCATAGCCTCTCTCTGGGCATGGGAGCAGACTTCAAGCCCCAGTTTCTGCAATTCTGGGGAGTTGAGCTAAATGGATCAAGGAGATCACGAACTTCATGGGGTTTACTGGTGCCTTTTGCTACTATTGAGTTCTGTGGTATGAGACAGCTCACTTACTATCTCCTGGAAACTCAGTCACTTTTCAGAAGAGATGAAGACTTTCAGTCTTACCATGAGTTCTCTTCCACAGCATTGAAGTGTTAAAAATTGGAGCCTTTGCACTCCAACTTCACATCCTCTAGGAATCTCTATGGGAAGGGAAACTGTCTTCTTTAGATGTTCCATTAGAAACTGCTGATGCAGAATCCATCAAATCCATTAGAAGTCCATTAAGTCTGTAAGGCTGCTGTTTGTTTTCCTGTGTTGTCTGAAGAATTTGGAAGGCCACAAGGTGTATGTTGCCTGTGGCAGATTATCCTTTGCTAGCTGGTTGTGTTTTCTGGCTGCAGTATCCTGTAGGCAATATGTATATGTGGTTTTGAAAGATGAGAGGAAACAAGGCACTTTTAATATGCCTGGATGGCTAGGCCAGTGCCTTTGCATTATGTTACACAGAAATGACAGGAGTGCAAGACACAATAAATGAAGTCCAAGAGGTTTGGCTCAAAATACACCATGACATTTTGCATCAGAACAATCCTGAGGCTGAGACATTTGCCCTTTGGTCAGTTGTGAACTGCACATTCTTCCCTAATAACTGCATCAACAGGTGACAAATTATAATTAGATATACATTAAAATTAGTTGAATATTAGAGTATGACAATTACTATATTGGCCTGAATGAAAATTCACATAGAATTAAAGTCCCAGAGCATTTTACAAACTTGTATTTACACATCAATTTTAATATACATGTAAAGTATAATTTTAGGGAGCACCATGAAATAGCTATTTCTAAGATAAAGCAAGGCACAATGATTGTGTGCAACTCAGAATGATCAGGGGCTTTAGGCAGAGCAGACTGGCTAGGACACAGGATCAATCTTTATAAACCAGTGTCAAGTCAAGTGGAGAGTCAAAGCCAAGGTTGTCCCAACAACAAACATACAGTGATGATATTCTGATGAAACCTCATGACATGACACTCCACTTTGATTTGGTGATGTTGTATAAACATGCAGCATCTTGGCCTCTTGCTGATAGCAGGCAGATACACCTGGTACAGCACAGAGGTCAGGTACTGAGTGTGTGAGACACTTGTCTGGCTTTTTACAGCCTCCTGGGAAATTTGTCTGGGTTTGGTTAACTTGACTTTTAAATGCAGTCATCCTACGGAAGGAAACTTCCCTGAATGACAAGTCTGATGTAGTTAAACAAAACCATTTTTGAAATGCAGAACTCCAAATGTGATTAAAATGCAGGTTTTCCAGTGTATATTTCATCAAGGCTAACCATGAGCAATCCTTTTAAAATACTTCCTTTGACGGCTGGCTGTTTATTTGGGTTCAGTGAATGCAGGTTTGGTGAAAGAGGGTGTCAAACAGGTCATGAGGCGAGACAGACAGTGTGCCCTGGAAATTCAAGCCTTTATTATCTGGTCTCCATGGGATTTCCTTTCCTACATGGAAAAATGTGTGGTAATGCCATAGCAACAACAAAGGAACAAACATAGCAGGACATGTCTCTGCTGTTTAAGGCCTAGTGGGCTGGATTTTGTAAATGACTGCATTTCCAGAACAGTTATTTTGCTTAGAGTAGTATAAACAATGAGAAGCTGAACTAAAGGCACAAGAACTAAGGACAAGCAGCTTTCCCTCTTTGAGGATTTGTCTGTAACGCAAAAGGAGCCTTATAAATATTAAGGATGAGTTGAAAAATCCTCATTTTAATTTTAAACTGATTCCTCTCCCTCCTCTCATACCCAGCTTACAAAAGAAGCATCTTTAAGCCCTACAATAAACCCCTCAGCCTGTGTGAGTAAGCTCAGCTGTCTGCAACTCCCTGTATTCTCCACCAGCCAGTTCCCACAGACAAAATCTACTGCCTACTTGTTAGGCAAAACGGCTTTGCTCCAGGATTCAGGGGCTAAAGGGCCCTTAGGGACCTGGGATGTCCATGGTGAGTCAGAAAACTAGAGGTGACTCCCTTGAGTGTGGCACTTTCAGTCTGGGCAGCTCCCCAAGGTGAAGGTCCTGCTTTTGGATGGCACGGGCCAGCTACCATGCAGTATGTATGCCAGCAGGACATACACGAAGGCATAAGCTGCTTTTTTTCCTATGGATTCAATAAAGTATTTCACAGGAACACATGACTCACAAACAGTGCTTTTAAAGCCTTTCACAAACGGTAGATGAACATGATTTATCAAAATCAGGCTATAATCATGCTGCTGATCAGTCAGTCAGCAGCCCTAGAGGAAAGTTTTTACAGCCCTCCTATAACCTTTAAGATTCTTGACATGAAATGCAAGGCTTCCTGAGCTGCTTCATGACCTTATTTGTAACCTTCCTTTCACAAGCCATTATTCTTCACAGAGTGAGCCCAGATAGCAGAGCCCATCAGCACCTGTCACGGAAGAGGTCTCGGCTTAAAACTCGCAGTCTAGCTGTCATATTTCAAACCAGTTCTTTATCAGAGGAGACCAAAGTCATGCCAAGAAAAGGCATAAGAGGGGTGTGTGTAAGAACGAAAACTGTCTCCAGTTGTCAGGAAAAATGGCTAACTATAGCTCTGTTTCATAGTTACTCAGTTCTTGCAGCAGTAAATGTCAGAGGCTGGATTCCAGTGCCTTCATTTGCAAACCTATTCTACATATCCATCACGGGCTCTGCAAAGCAGTACTTCTGACCTCCACCTCCGCACACTCCTCCTGCTCTGTCCAGGATCCTCAGTTAGTCATTGGGTGTAATGTTGTGATAACTGCTTTGTAGTTTAACTGTTCTGCTCGAATCAGCTCTCAAGGGAGGCTGCCAAGCATCAGAAACTCCCTGCGCTTGTGCAGATGGGACAAGTGCCCTGTGTCTTTCCTAGACCAAACCATTCAATCATCTTCTTTGAAGCCTACATCTCAGTTTATTCAGGCTCACATCACAGAAGAATTAATGTATAGCTTACCTAGTATTACACTGCCTCTGATTTCAGCATAAGTTTCTTTGAAAAGTGTAGCCAAAGTTGGGCAGTCTCCAGAGCTCATCAAAAAAGCCAGTGGCAAGAGGTCCTAACGTGTCTTGATACTCAATGTGAGCATATAACTGACAAACTCATAGATAAGATTTCATTTAAAGGCTTCTTCATAAAAAAAATAAGAACCACACTAATTATATGAGTTCTTTAATAGTTCAATACATGTTGAAATCATTTTGCTAGGCATAAAAAGAAGTATCGCGAGATTAACACTTAAAGAGATTGAAAACATCTAGGTTTAGAAAATGGATTGGTTAGGCAGGCAGCTTTTCCAGGGCTTTGCAGGGTTATTTCCCCCCTTGGATTAATCTACTCGACTACAGAATAAGTATTTTTCTGATCTGCCAGCAGTGACAATATTAGTGGTTTCTAACTCTTTAGTCAGCAGAACAATAAGGTGAATGCATGCTTGGGATTGGGGAAAGGGGAGTCTTTAAGATCCTCTAGCATCCTTTAAAATTCTCCTTCTTTCACTTGCAAGAAAACAGGCACTTTTTGGCAAGGAAAACACATGATACACAAAGAAAAAGGAAAAATCAGCCTGCTGACTTTAAATGCAGAGCTGTACTCAGATTTATGGGGTCGTGGCTAAGGAAGAGAATAACATATCTTTTTATGGGTGATAGGGAAAAAGTAAATGTATTTCATATTCTACTATGTACTATTATACAATGGTTAGTGATCTCAAAGAGATAAAAGACCTTTGTTTCATTAAAATGCCATTAATAAATGGGGTGGGTGGGAGGAGGACTTGATAGAGGATCACAGGTGAATAATAGTAATTGTACAATGGCAATGATCAGTGCCAATGTGACAGCTCAGATCTGACCTGCAATATTTGGCATCAAACCTCATTTCTATGCACCCAGCTTTATGCCTTCTATCTTTATTACCCAGTGCATTTTCTTTTCTGAGAGCAGTCTGATTGCTGCTAATCTTCTAGCCTGTAACCTAATGCTCTCTCTTTAAATGAAGTCCCCATATTGTTGATAAAGAGTCATTGTGTTTGCTTATCTCCCCCCTCTCCAGAAGTGATAGCAGGAAATCTGACTTCTCAATTAACCTGTGCTGAATTAGAATCTTTGTGATCAAATTGGTCTGTGTGATTTTCTTTTTCCTTTGTTTCTTCTTTTTTTTTTTTTCTTTTTTTTTTTAATCTGGCCTGCTTGAAACTGTGTGGGAATTAGGATTTGTGAATCTCAACAGAGCCTCTTTCTGTGTCAGGCTGCTGTGGTGTACACAAATTAGAAGCCACTTTCTCGTCATTCTTACAAATTGCTTCTTTTTCTGATATTTTCCAAGGAGAAATGAACATGGTACTGTGTTGCAGGGAAAGCAAGAGAAATACAGTCATTTAAACTATGGAAAAATAATGGACATTTCACAGATGTAGCCAATAACGGGGAGTATGGCATAGATCTGTCTGTAAGACACAAGCCAGGCCCTTCACAAATTAATTATTATTTAAAACATAATTTTCTGGGGTGCAGTGTTATACATTGGCACATGAGAATGAAGACATTCAAACCCCAGTATGTTTGTGTCTTTTCCAAAATGTTCTTCTCAGATTAAAGTAATCTATGGCTCACAATTGCCACATCCCATACGGGAATCTCATCAAAGATAGGGGAAAAAGTGAGTAAAGAGTCAAGAGAGGCAAGAATTTGCAACCAAGCCAGGCTGGGCTGGGAGCACATCCAGCCCACTGGCCTTGACACAGCACACATGGCATGGGCTTTCCTTTGCTCTGCTCCATGTGGGCTTTCTGGTGCAGGGACATCCTTCTTCTCCCATGGCTGCTTTGTAAAACCTGGTGTGAGACACTGTCTTTCCTGCATGTCTTTGAGTTAAAGTAGGGATTAACCTGGAGGCATAAGTCTTTCTCTAATTCCTTGGCATTTTACATAGATAAAGCAAGAAGTTTAATTACAGAATGTTTGATTAGAGACTGTATCTAGGATCATCAAAATGTCTTCTACATTAAAATCACATAAATTTCATTAAAATACGGATATTTAAGAAAAAAGATTTAGAAGCTAAATGGAAGCCCTGTCATTACTGCTTCATTTCACTGCTGCTCCAATTCATTTCTTTTGAGTTTTGACGGGAAGGGCACTGGCAGCAGATCTTACTCTAATTAATACATTTCCATTTAAGATTTCACCTGTAATTATCCACTGTAGAAACATGAGGACCTGCCCAGGTTTAAATCAGCATGTCACAGATAGCTCCATAATTCACTAGATAGGTACTTCAAATATTTTTCTTGTTCAAACAGGGATGCATAGCTATAGTGCATGGAGTGCTCATCTAGGCTGTGTTTATCTGGCAAGAGAAAGCCTCCACTGACACATAAAGAGGTTGGTACAAATCAAATTTTCCATGTCTCTATTACAGATTAAGCATAAACTAAGACTAAAGCCATAAAAAATGAACACAATACAAAAGTTTAGTCTGTATTATTTTACAAAAAAATTTAGGATGTCACTGAAATGTGATGAAAAGGCTGGAAGCAGTTTGATGTGCCAGTAGAAGTCAGAGATAATTCTGGGTAAGTTGTTGGATAGCAGCAGGTATAAAACTGAGAGCAGAAACTCAGTAAGAAAGAAAACTTCAGAGTGGGATGGCATGGGTGAAAGATGTATAGTCAGGGTTACCTAGAGCTTTGAAGAGGACTGGACATCCATACAGGTTTTTGACATTCTGTGTGAAAACCGAGACACTGCCTGGAAAAAGTAACTCTTGCTTTCTCAATATTATAGGTGAATAATAGCATTGCTCTGTAATGTTGGATTTTAGGTAGTTTTGCTGGTAGGAGAAAATTCTTACTAATCTTTACACTTCAAACATAGGTCTCTCCATTAGGAATTACTACTAGAGTATACACTTGACTGACTCCTACATGAAATATATGGTATAGAAATCCAGCTCAGAAGTGCATAGTTTTCATAAAAATATTCATTTGCTTAAGATTTCAGCAAATTTCAACTATTTATTTCTCTTCCATTCAATATTTATGTTTTCCTTGATAGATCCAGCTTAAATCCACATTATTTTGGGACCATCTTGTAATGTTTGCACAGTATTTCATAGCACCTCCCAGTAAAAAGACATTAAGGTAATCTATGATACTATAAATAAGAGGCTTTTTTAAGAAGGTCCTTGAGTCATTTTGCTGTAATGACAGCAGGCCTCATTAAACAGCTGCATACACGGCACACATTGGGGACGTTTGCAATGCTGGCGTGCCTGCATTTTATAACAGCCCCAAATGTGACCCCTGGGACCATGGTGGTAACAGAGACAGAGGACATAAATTGGATTGCAAAAGGCACAGGAGTGTCAAAGTTGGCCTCCCCCTGTGATGGAGCTGTAGCCTAAGCAATGGCTGTGGGGCTGCCTCCCTTCACCTCTGTTTAACACTTTGTTACGTGGTTCAGGCTGACCTGCTGTGCTCAGCAGGGTGACATTGTCCTGTGCATGACAGCCACACGCACAGCTCATCTTTTCCTAAAGGAAATCCTACAGCTCTTTTGTCCAGAGTCTCCCAAGTGGTGTTAGTGTGTCAGCTCCTTCCATATGGATTCCTTTAGCTCTGTGACTCAGTTATGCTGCTCATGGCTCCTTTAATTAAGCTGCTGAAAGTTCAACTCATCATTGTACAGAGGCAAAACAGTCAAGTCAGTACATCCAGGCACACAGGGGTTTAAGCAGGACTTTGTAATTTGCCACTGGACAATCTGCACTATGAATTTGTCTGCAAGTCATTTCACAAGGTCTGAAGGCTTACATCCTCCATGGGTCACTGAACACAGGTGAACATTCTATAAAATATTGTTCCTTCAGCCCTTCACTATGTACAGAATAACAGGCTTCTAGACTACTGAATTAAAGCTGTAAATTTGAACTGTCAAAGCCCAAAGATGTTGGACTAGGCAGCAGGTACCTTTATGACATTTTCTTATTACAAGCACTGAGATGCAATTGCTTATGGAGGGCATTAAATCAAATTGTGGACAAAAGCTGCTACAGAGACACCCCAGGTTCCTGCCTTACTGCAGGCACTGTCAAACCACTTGCAATTAACCTGCATGCCCAGGGAGCTGGAATGTTGAGAGGCATTTCTTTTGGATGGATTTTGCCATCCCAAATTTAACTGTGTACTTGTGACTCAGACCAGTCAAAATTATCTTCATGAACTTCAGCCTTTGGAGCAACTATTCCATCAGGCTTGCAGGACAGCATCTGCTGCACAGCCTGGTTGGGCATGTGGTGCTCCAGTGAGTGATGCTGTTATCCTCCCAGGATGTCTCAGCCACAGAGGAGCAACCACCTCAGGTGGTTGCTGGCCATGTCAGAAGCATAGAAGAAAAAAGTATTTGACAAAATTAATGATGCTAGAAGACTACTGCTGTTCTGGGTTGGTTATACAGTTACTGGTTTGTATCTTACACAACCCACAGCAGTTCAGCAGACAGCTGAACTGCGCAGTTGACAGAAGCTTAACTTTGTGTTCAGTTAAAGGTTTGGTGTGGACACATTTCTGGGAACAGCAGAGGTGGACACTGTGCTGTCAGCTTCATTCAGCCAGGCCACGACTTCCCGATCAGAGGAGTTTACCTGGACTTCGGTAATTGCTCCAGTTACTGCTTCTTGTAGTCAATCAAATTTAATTCTGTTGGCGGATCCACTAATTACATGTTCTTGGTTTTATGTGGGGCTAATAGACCACCTAAGGCTTTGTGTAGATTAGTTAATGTTTTCTCCTGGCATTTTGCCTGTATCATGGTGGCAGGTGCAAAATGTTCCTTGCAAAAGCATATGGCCAATTGCTGAAATACAGTGAATGCTTATGGGTTTTTGAAGGACAGGGTTAAAGGACTATGTTCTTTATGATACATGTGAGCAGAGTGTTAATTTTATAGTTCTTCCATAGCCTGAAATGCCTAAAAATTGCTGCTGAGAAAGCAGATACCTGAGAGGAAATAAATTCTTGTAAGGGACATGGAGCAAAACAGTATTTTCAGAAGGTACTTAAGCCAAATGGGAATGGTGATGTTGGGCAAACAGCCTAAAAAGGAGCATGCATCATTGTCTTGCACTGAAATGCA